GCTTGAAGATTGGCATCAATATTATCCATAAATCCAATCAAATCTGGTTTAGGAATTTAAATAGGTCCCATCTCCCCGGCCCCTCATAAAAGTAGGGCTCAAAATGCTGACATAGATTTTTGACTTTCCTGGACGATGTGCTTTAGGTAAATACAAGTCTCTCCACTAACAGATGAGAAGCTAGATGGAAGTCTCTAGTTTGTACTGTACAGAAAGTCAGATTAAGTGATTTCTTCTAGTGGGTCACATTGAGATGCTCTGTACTGGCCTTTAAGATCAGTAGATGACAAATAAATGGAGAAGAGAAGATTTAAGTAAGGAAGAAATTGATTCAGCAATGTGGACGGAACTGATCAAGAGGATCTTCTGTAAATCTGAAGCTCAATTTTAATTCGTATTTCTGTGACAGATTTGTACACTGAAATATTTTTATACATGCATTTATAATAGACATGCAAGCATGGAAGTGCGTTTACTTTGTGTGGGGTTTGTGTTGTATGGACAAGACAGTAATTAATAAAAATACTTCTTGTCATCCTTCCTGGATTTGTCTTTCATCTTTCTTTAACAGTTTTTTCAGTAGATCTTAGTTAACTGGAAAACACTTTCAGGTCATTTGTGGTGTGGCAAGATTAAGATATACTGCAATTGCTGTGAATCACCAAAAAACAATCTGACCATTTTTTTAATGAGCTCATCCTTTTCTTTTCTTCTAGTTTGAAGATCATGTATGCAATATAGCACTGCTGCTAAGAATTTTTAATAAATTGGAAGTGAAAACTTTATATTCTTTAAAAAATTGTTATAGGCAAGTACTCATAAATGTAGATTTGGGATAATTGCATCATCATGCTCTTTTTAATCCCAGTTGGGTTTAGTTCTGTTTTGGAACAAAAACTACAGTGTGATGTAATTGCCTTCCTCTGATTATTTTTACCTTGGTGTATTCCGTTGCTGGCTTGTGTATATAGTTTTTATGTGTTGTCATTTGAAAAATTTTAAAACTCTTGAGAGACAGTCCTGGAAACCCTTCTGGTTGTATCATTGTTTTCTATTTGTGCATGGCAATTGCAGCAGCCCACTAGGGGCCTATAACTCTTACTGAGCATAGAATGGACTTCTCATCATTTCATACGGAATGTGATTTTGCTCCTCAGTTGAGCTAAAATCTGCTTACTGTTGTGATTACCATCCCTGGGCTCCACCCTGCCTTTCACCACCTGCCACTTACAAGTAATTCCTTTGGCAATGAGAATACAGCCAAAACTGTCAAATACATTGGCCCCTTTTTGAGAGCCTTCTGATTATTATTCTTATTTTGTGGTGATGTCAGATTTCCAAGGGTAATCTCTCACTGGACGAGTATGTTTTTCTCCGAGACTTGCATCACCCTCTCATTTTTAGTCTCCATTTCAGAAGTAATGATTGCTTACTGAAAATATGCATTATGTGGATTTTCTATTATTCAGTTCCATTACTTTTTGTGAGCACATCATTACATTTCTAGGATGGAGAAAAGAAGGTTCTTTAATCCAGAAAATAAGTCAAGGGTTGACAACAGGCAAACTTGTTTCTTCCCAAGTACATACAAGTTTATTTGTTACCATCTTAGAAAAAAAGGTTTCAGTTCCTTATTTTAAATACTTTAAGTGCACTCCATGATAGCATTTTTCTTCTCTGCTTAAGCAGCAAAAGTATTAAAACCTAAAATTTTTAAAGATAACATGGAAAGAGCGTTTTTTACTCGCTGGGAACAATGTTTTTCTTTTTTCCTTTTTGGATGTTTGATATCACTGCATATATATAAAGGGAAATTCAGGACTGACTTCCTTCACACATTAATGTTTGTGATGCTATTAACTCCCACAAAAGAAAATATAACCCAGTTTAGTCCTGGTAGAAACATATGAGAAGCAATGTCTAAGTATTTATGCCTAGCATTTTACAAGAGCTGATAACAATTTTATTCTGTTTTCATACTAACATTTTAAACTACCTTTTATGACTGCTCGCTGAAGTCAGTGCCATATACCTATAAGCTTACAAAGGCAGGAAGAACAAGTCTTCTCATGCTCTGTATTCCTTTATGGTACACTATTAGATATCTGAACCGCAGTGCTGGACACCAGGCCGAATGTATAAATGCAGTTATGGTGAATGTGTTACTAAGGCAGTGGTTTCAAGATTTTTTAAGCATTGTCTCACTGGTATGAGCTTCATCTTGTCATCATCTATTGGTCCTAACCAACGCTTTTAAAAAAAATCCTCTGCTGTGTGCAGTTAAAACTGCTTCCAGTAACTTTGGTGGCTTGGTCATTGTAGGTCAATGGGCTGTGGTTATCAGTGACTGCAATGCAGATTTCCTCCAGAGGTATGGCAGAAGAGGAGGAGGAGGCCACAAGTTTATGTGATGAGGCCTCAGGAGAGATTTGGGCTGATGCCAGCTCCCAGGAGTCTCTCCAGCAATGGTGTCCTCTCTCTTCTTCTCTTGCTTCACTGTCTTTGCCTCGTAACTCCTTCTTGGTTTTCATTTTGCAGTCTATCTGTTTATATTAGATTGTAAGCTCCCGAGTACAGGGATCTTATAGTTTTTAATAACTGGTAGCAGTTAGGCACACTCTACTCCACTCTTGTAAGGCCCCACCTGGAGTACTGCGTCCAGTTCTGGAGCCCCCAACATAAGAAAGACATGGACCAGTTAGAACTAGTCCAGAGAAGGGCCACGAGGATGATCCGAGGGCTGGAGCACCTCTCCTATGAGGACAGGCTGAAAGAGTTGGGGCTGTTCAGCCTGGAAAAGAGAAGGCTCCAGGGAGATCTTATAGCAGCCTTCCAATACCTGAAGGGGGCCTACAAGAAAGCTGGGGAGGGACTTTTCATACGGGCAATTAATAACAAAGCAAGGGGAAATGGGTTTAAACTGAAAGAGGGCAGGTTTAGATTAGATATTAGGAAGAAGTTCTTCACTGTGAGGGTGGTCAGACACTGGAACAGGTTGGCCAAGGAAGCTGAGGATGTCCCCTCCCTGGAAGTGTTTAAGGCCAGGCTGGATGAGGCTTTGAGCAACGTGATCTAGTGGAAGGTGTCCCTGCTGATGGCAGGGGGATTGGAACTAGATGATCTTTAAGGTCCCTTCCAACCCAAACCATTCTATGATTCTATGATATTAAAAGATTCATATATTCCATAATCAAAATAGAGCTCATAACAGCAGTAGTAATACATGTTCTATTCAAAGCATACTTAAAAGCAAGAGACCAGTGTACTCTTAATGGAATATACATCTTATTTCTAAAGTGTATCATTTAAAAAATAACTAAGAGCTGATTATTTGGATATATATATATATATTTTTTTTTTTAGGTCATAGATCCTCTTTATTTTTTCCTTCTTGAGTTTTGTGATCACTTAACGCTTTGCAAATCTAAACCTCTACCTTTTTGCTTCAGAAAACTGAATGGATAGGCATATGATCTTATTCCATAATGTGAACAACAATGAAGGTAGTGTCGTTGTTGTGTAATACTTTGGATTTCTGATGAATTTCTTGCCAGAGTAGATAGAGCATACTGGCAGGTACAGTCTGCAAATAAATGGGAAAATCTGCATTCACTGGAGACAAGAAGGGGCCAATAGCATCTTGTAACACCGTAGCTGACATCTGAAGGTTTCCCTGCACAATGCTGTGTTCAAGTGTTGGATGAAACAAATGCATTCAGACTAAGGCTTGTTTAAACATCCAGACACGTTCTCAGAAATGGGAAAAAGGAATCCAGGTTCACTTGGGTAAACAACCATCTCAGAAAAGGTTTTAGGAGGAGGGAAGAGCTGGTATGCAAGTAAGCAGCAAAGAATGTACCTTTTAGAGGTCTAAAGAGGCTTAGCAGTGGTCACCCTGTTAGGCCTTGAAAAGACTATAAAAACAAATGTGAATAAAAGTAGAGAAAAAGTTAAGTAGAGGCATTTTGGAATGAGGATAGCACTGAGATTAATCCTAGGTGCGGCCCTGAAATGAAATAGATGTTTCTCTTCATCTTTTAATGAGGAAAATGTCACCAGATACAGAAAGTACAGAAATGTGAACTGTTCTATCCAAGATGAAACTTAAACTAAAAACAGCAAGTCCATTTAAGTGAAGGGACCAGAGGACTGAAGCATCAACACTATGGGCTTCTCATAAACCTACTGAATAGGTACCGTATGATTAGACTGTAACAAATATGTTTATATTTCTGGTCTGACCTACTGCAGACAATGCAAGACTTTAGAGGTAATTTGAAAAGAAAAAAAGTAGAAATGTGCTTATAAAATTTGTTGATTAAAAATTGATAAACATTGGGAATACAGAGAAGGAATGTCATTTTTTGTAGAAAGAATTGGAAAGCCTTGAGATCTGGAATAGTGGAAACAGGATGAAATATGAAGTGCACCATCAGGAATCTGGGGAGTAATAAGAAATTATGCGAAGGGTTGGGAGCTTGTCTTTGGAAGTTATAAGAAATATGAATCAATGTAAAAAAGGAATACCTGCTCTTTTTTCCCCACAGCAAACAGAAGAAATAAGATGAGGGAAAGATCCCTAAAGATTTATGAAAATGCCAATTTATCTATAACCTTTATCAAACTATAATTTTTTTCTGCAGTTAGAAATTGTTTGTTAAAAGGAGAGGAACCAGAGTGGTACTGTTAGAAAAGCAGTTGGCCACCACTCCTGCATTTTCTTTTGTCTGGTGCTGGCTTGATGATGTGCTATGCGAAAAGAACTGTGTTTTCTGTATCAGTTTCGAGGTAACTGCTACAAGTGCTGGTAGCCCTCACTAATGGACTCGTCTGTTGGTTTTACTAATAAATACAGTCTATTTCCAGCAGGGAGGATCACACATTCTTAAGAAATGCTGTAAAACAACATGTGAACAAAGGAGGATTAACTCTGTCTTTTTTTCTAATGGGACTTTTTAGAAAAAATTAATTATCTTTTTTTTTTTTTTTATCTTTTAGCCATGGAATTGTTAATAGTTGAGCTGCGCCTGTTTCTTGAACTTCTGGACCATGAATATCTAACTTCCACTGTCAGGGAGAAGAAGGCAGTAATAACTAACATTCTCCTGAGGATACAGTCGTCAAAAGGTCAGTGTCAGGGGTGGGCTTTCTTGCTTGCAGAATGCACAGAATAAGTCTGTGCTCAGTGAAATAGCTTTAAGGACTAAGACAAGCCTTAAATTGAAGCAAGACAGAAAGACAGGGTAAAGCCAAAGTTTAACTTTCCTGAATGCTTTCCTTCATGTTCAGCAATAAAAATATAGCACAGGGCATACTGCAAGTATCTTGGGTGCACATGGGTGAATCCAGCCACAAAATTACGTGCTAGATAGAATGTTTTCACTTCTCCTGATGTAGTGGTTACTTCATTTTATTTGTGGCAGCAATACTATTTATTACTTTTGATGGAAAAGTAATACTACATCAGGAACTGCTGGCCACAGCACCATTTTATAGATTCATGGGTGCTGAATGCTGCATTTCCATCAAATGACCCAAATCCATCCAGAGGCTTGATACTGAGTTGGTGCATGGCTGATACAAGAGTGCCAAACCAGAGCTAGGAGATGGCTGTCAGTATGTTTGTTTTGCATTTTACAATTAAAACAATATTCACTTTCCCCTTTTCTTCCTATCTAAAACCATTTTGATCGCACAATCAATTATGTCTCCATCAAGATTATGGAACTGAATGCAATATAAATGGTTCGCTGTGTACAGCAAACTTTCCCCAGAGCTTATACAAAGAATATTCCTCACTATTTTTTCCAAGAGTATTCTTTTATTTCCTTTCAGCACCCTTCTGTATGAAGTGGCATCTGGGCTGTAAGGCCTCTGTCTCTCCTACATTTAACAGAAATAGTGTCAGTGTAAACCTTCAGAGTTTAGAGTTTTGAAAAATACCAGAGTGTGTTGAAGAAAACTGCCACATTGTGAGCAGTTGCATTTCTCATGATTTGGTTCTTCTCCAGTGCTAAAAAAATATGGTCTTGTTTGATACAATGTTTCCCCCCTTCAGTAAAGAAATAATTTTTTGCCACAGGATTCAAGTCCAAGGAGACCAACTTGAAAATAATGTTTGTTTTCCTTTCCATTTTGACATTCTTAAAGACCCATCGCTATTTTTACTTTACTACTGAGAGAAGGAGCCAGGTACCAATTTCACATATTGTGGAAGAAGGCTTCATGCTCCAAAGCCGATCAACATACACTAAACTCCCCAAACCTAAAATCTGTAGGTGAGAACCTGCAATTTGATATGTTTAGAAACAGCTGTATTTTATAGAAGTTCAAAATAACCTCAGCAATGCTGATCTGACACTGCATGTTCTTTTTGTAATCTTTTCAACTAGATTTATTAAGAAAAACATTTGACTTTTTGAACACATTCTATTGCCAGCTTGGAAACACAGGGAAGGGTTGTCATATCCTTTCCTTCTGGATTGTCAATGGTGTTTTAGGACACAAGAAGCTTGAGCTGACTCATGTCCTCCATCAGTTCCTAGGCATGATTGGGAGTTAGCACAGGCAAAAAGCTGTTCCTAACAGGCAGTTCAAAATCATCACCCTCCACCCTGGTTTTGAGAGGTGAGAGATTTTAACCATATGGATATAGATGTCTCCATACCAGAACACCTTCCTAAGCATGTTTAATTTATGTCTATAGATGTGTCCAAGGATAAAAAGACCCAAAGGACCATAACTTTCTACTTTTCAGGATCCATTACAACCTATTACAGGATCCATCCATTAGGAAGATCCATATGAGATCCATATATTAAGTGGTGGAGCTTGGTTCACTGAAGTTGTTACTGGAACATTATACCGTCTGCTAGTGCCTACATTCAAGGAGATAAAATTCAGACATTTCAGAGGAAAATAGTTAAAGGATCCAGAAATACACCTTCAAATTACCCAAAATGATGTTTCATAATTAAACTTGATGTAGGAGAGAAATGACTGAGAATGAGCTCTTAGACTTATATGACAAAAAGCAGTGTGCAGTGATGGCATGTTTGTTTCAAATTGGAAATAAAGCACGTTTTGAGCATTGAAGCTATGAACTAATGGAAGAACTTCATAAGGTCTGCATGCCATTGCTGGCATTTTATCAAGATAGAAATGCTGTAGTTCAAGCAAGAATTAATTCAAGGAAATTAATTGGCCAGGAAGGCCAACAGTATCCTGGGGTGCATTAAGAAGATCATGGCCAGCAGGTCGAGGGAGGTTCTCCTCCCCCTCTACTCTGCCCTGGTGAGACCAGGCATTGGTGAGAAATCTATGGTGAGAGCATAGATTTCTGGAACACAGGAGGTTCCGCTTAAACTTGAGAAAAAACTACTTTACAGTGAGGGTGACAGAGCACTGGAACAGGTTGCCCAGGGAGGTTGTGGAGTCTCCTTCTCTGGAGATATTCAAGACCCGCCTGGACGCCTTCCTGTGTAATTTCGTTTAGGTTCCTGCTCCAGCAGGGGGATTGGACTAGATGATCTTTCGAGGTCCCTTCCAATCCCCCAACATTCTGTGATTCTGTGACCACATCTGGAGTACTGCGACCAGTTCTGGGCTCCTCAGTTCAAGAGGGACAGGGATCTTCTGGAGAGAATCCAGTGGAGGCCACGAAGATGATGAGGG